GTAACGATAACAATTGATAATAGAAATGATAATAATGATAACACTAATAATAATAGAAATAATATAAATAAAAATATAATTATGATAATACTACTAATATAAAACAACAATGTTGATAATGTTGATAATAATAATAATTGTATTATTATTATTGTTACTATTATTAATAATTAATAATAATGATAGGAATAATAGTAATAATATTGATAATAATTACATTAATGATAATAATAATGATGATAGTAATACTGCTGATAATGATTACAATAACAATGAAATAATAATGAAAAAACGGCGATAGTAATCATACTAACAAAATAACAATGATGATAATGATTATGATAAAGATAATGATAGTGATCATCATTTTTTGATAGCTATAATAATGATTATTGCAATAACTATAATGGTAATAATAATAACAAGGATAACAAGAACATTAATTACAACACTGATAATAATGACAATAATAATTATTATAAAAATAATGATGATAATGATAAATAAAAAATAGATCATACTTTTTTTTAATAATAAGCGTAATAGAAATAAATAAAATATAGTAAAAATGATAGTAATAACAGTAACGATAATAATGATGACAGTGATTATAATAACGACAGTAATAATAACAACAACACCAATAGTATTATCAGTATCCCGTAATTATTCTCTAATTTCCTTCTTACCTCTTCCCTCTCCATTATTTCTTCTCCCTTTCTTCTTTTTTATCCTTTATTCTTACGGTTACGCCGAGCCCCCCGAAGAAGCTCCTAGGATTCCTTAAGGATAAAGAAGTTGCGTTTCCTTGGTTATCGTTTGCAGAGCCCGTTGTGGGGTCCTTGAGGCGTTCATTTTGATTATGAGGATTTCTTGAGAGCTGTTTCGAGTTTTTTGGTTTGTCTGTCTGTCTGTATGTATGTATGTCTTTGGATTTGGATTTGGATTGGACGTGTCTGTGTCTGTGTCTGTGTCTGTCTCTGTCTCTGTCTCTGTCTCTGTCTCTGTCTCTGTCTCTGTCTCTGTCTCTGTCTCTGTCTCTGTCTCTGTCTCTGTCTCTGTCTCTGTCTCTGTCTGTCTCTGACTCTCTCTGTCTCTCTGTCTCTCTGTCTGTCTCTGTCTCTGTCTCTGTCTCTGTCTCTGTCTCTGTCTCTGTCTCTGTCTCTGTCTCTGTCTCTGTCTCTGTCTGTCTCTGTCTCCTGTCTCTGTCTCTGTCTCTGTCTCTGTCTCTGTCTCTGTCTCTCTCTGTGTCTGTGTCTCTGTGTCTGTGTCTCCTCTCTCTCTCTCTCTCTCTCTCTCTCTCTCTCTCTCTCTCTCTCTCTCTCTCTCTCTCTCTCTCTCTCTCTCTCTCTCTCTCTCTCTCTCTCTCTTGGCACTGTGTTAATGATAATGGTAATAATATTATTGTTTTTATTATCATTACTGTTATCATCTTTTATTACTACTGCCATCATCAATATTAGTATTGCTATTACAATGGTAATGAGAGCAATGACCATCATTGTTATAATTAAAATCATCATCATTATCACCATGGCCATTATCATTTTTATCATCACTATCATGATTATTGTTATCAGTAATATTATCATTACTATCATTATTACCATCATCATTATTTTCAATATTATTATTGCTATTGCAATGGTAATGAGAGCAATGACCATCATTGTTATAATGATAATGATATTTGTTATTATTATTATTATTCAGCTAAATGTACGATTTTTATTATTTTTCTTAATCTCACCTCGTACCGTAGCCTGGTGTGTGTAAAAAGACATTTCGGGCTAAAAAGTAATTAAGATATAAGGAACAAGTGTGGCTATTATGACTGCCTAAAACAACATCTCGTATACTGCAAGAGAAGCACCGGTTTAAATGGGCCTCGAGAGACCTTGCAAATTGCATGCAATACGTATTTCTGTGATACTGTTGATGTGCAACAGGAAATGTTCTTTTTTCTTTCTTCCTTTCTCTCTCTTTTCTTTCATTCTCTTTTCTCTTTCTCTCTCTTTTGAGTTTTTTTATCATGATTTTTTATTACATGATGGATAGGCGTCATAATTGTAAATTAATACATAAAAAAGGAAACAATTATATACGTATCTCCTGCTTGAAAGATCAAAGGCAAAACTACCAGCATAAAAAAAAAACTTTATCACAGCCTCAGTTCACAGCAAACTCATCCCACTTAATCTGCACAGAACAAGCCTTCCTCTCACACCCTTCCTCTCAGTGCTTCTTCCAGTCTGGGTGGTCTTGCTCCAGTGAAAGCCCGTGGACGACTACTATTTACCTTTCACACCGCTCAACAAGTGTGATGTAATTACAAATAGTAGTTGGCTTTGATGTCGGATGGGATTCGAACCTCGGCTAACTCGGGTTTAGTGTAGTGGGATCGGATTCTGAAATTCAATTTAGGTCTGGCAAAGTAGTATTTACTGCGTGTGTCTTGTAGGGGCGTGGAAGAGCTCGGGGGCTCAATGGGCGATTCGTGGTGCCTGTTTGGGGGTTATTTCGTGATGTTTGGGTTTATTTCTTGATGATTTCTTAATTATTTTAATTGTTTTTTCTATGCTTTGGTTGTGATTATTATAAAGGTGGGAGATTGATGAATAGGGGTGTAAGTTAGAAGTAAACTGTGACGATGATGATTAAGTATTGTGTGTGTGTATGTCTTATATGTTCATTACTGCTTTCTCAACTCATTATTAATACCATATGATCATTATTGTCTTACTAGTGATATTATATTAACTGCCATGGCTTTGATTTTGTAATTGTACTTAGAACTGTTTGTCCATTATAGACATGTTTCAATGTGACCCACGGATCACAACTTCATAATCATTAAGATTATCTTCATTGGTAATGACATTACCGACTTTATCATAATCATTATAACTTACTCTATCGCTTTGAATTATATTTATTATAAAATCGATCACTTTCATTATCGTTATTATATTGTTTCTTTGGAAGTACTAATGTCACATCACCACCATTATTATTATCAGTTGTATTAAGTATTAATCTTAACAGCAGAATTATAGATAGATATATGGATAGATACACACACATATATATATATGCATATATATATGTTACATATATAGATAGATAGATGGATATGAGGTGTGTCAGTAAAGTTCCAGGACTGATGTCACCAAAGCTTTATTTCAAACCAAAACTTCACACTAAGAGTTTTCCCCTTCAAAGTATTGCTTTTGCAGTCTAAAGCACTTTTTCATCCTTCTATGTCATGCATGCAGGCACTCCTGGAAGGATTCTTCTGGGATCCTCCGCAGTTCCGTCGTCACGTCCTTTTTTATGTCTTCCACGTCTTCAAAATGGGTCGGCTTGATGACCCCCTTGAGCTTGGGGAAGAGGAAAAAATCACTAGAGCCAGGTCGGGGAAGAGGAGGTTGCTCCAGCACGGTGATGCTCTTCTCGGCCAGGAACTGTCGAATGCTCAGGGCATTGTGAGCAGGCGCGTTGTCACGGTGAAGC